GAATAAAGGATGGAGACTATATCTTACAACCACATGCATAAAACGAGAAACCCAAAAACTGTCGATTTAAGCTTCGATATGATAAGCTCTTCGTAGATAACACCTGTTTCGTTTATGATCACGCTAACCAATGTGTAACTGCCAAGGACGAATAGCAACCCAAGAGTAAAAAATATGTTTTTCCGCCCCTTCTGCGTCGTCATCTAAACGAACCGAAGATTCGTTCTACGCTTACTCTGTTCTGTTTACGAACATAAGAAGTGTATTATCTAAACGCGATGCTTTGTATTCTCTAATCGACTCAACGCAAGCTGACATAGGTCTTTTAACCGAAACATGGCTCACCCCCGATATTCATGACTGAAGTTTTCCCCTCGTGTATGAATTTCAATTTGTGTAGATGTGATAGAATGTGCAAACGGGGTGGGGGAGTACTGATAGCTGTGAACAACCGCCTGACGGTATCACGAGTGACTACTGCACCGGGCTTAGAAATAGTTTGGTTATACCTTTCATCACATTCTTTTCAAACAGTCATTGGCGTCTGCTACAGACCACCTGACAGTAATAATGCCTTTGTACCTTTATTACAAGAGTGTCTCAGTGATATATCCTTAAAATTTCCTAAAGCAACGCTTATACTTTTAGGTGATTTTAACTACCCCTCCATCGACTGGAATTAGTTAACAGCAAATGACAATGAATCAAGATATTTCATCAATATGTGTTGGGATTTCAACTTTACACAACTGATTAGTATGCCAACTCGAATCACTGATCACAGTAGCAACACACTTGATATTTGCTTATCTACGAATCCAAATGTGATCAACAACCTTTCACTGCTACCTGGGCTTAGTGACCACCTCTTTGCACATTTTAACTTTTCGTTTCCTATTCTGCGCAAATGTATATTTCATAAACAAATAAGGGATTACAACAAAGCCGACTACAACTCCATTAACGCTGAACTAGAGTCATTTTATGTGTTTTTCAGGGAGGCGTTCCATAGTTACTCAATTGAGGAAAACTGACTCCGTTTTAAAAATAGATTATCATTCCTTGCGAATAAATACGTGCCTCTGGTGAACATCAAGACAGATAGTCAGAGCCCCTGGTATACTAAAGCAATCAAGCGACTAGCCAATAAAAAAAAAAAAAGATTATTCAAGCGTGCTAAACAGAAGCCCTTAAACAAAGAGATACAAAGTAAATATGAAGAATGCGAAAAATTATATAGATATGAAATTACAAAAGCCAAATCAAAATTTTACGGTACCGACCTATTACAAGTATTAACCGACAAACCCAAACAGTTCTGGAACGTAATCAATGCTAAGCCGTTCACCCCTCTTGCTCTCACCAATGACGAAGGTCTAGTTCTCTCCGACGACCAGTGTGCTGATTGCCTAAACAACCATTTTTGTTCCGTGTTCACTAACAAAAATCTTAACAACATTCCGCTACTTCCGGCTCTTATTCATCCGTCCATGGAAACCATTGCCATCGACTATTCTGGAGTTATCAACGCAATTGAAAATCTGAAACTTTCCTCGAGTTCTGGCGATGACCTCATCAACTCAAAAATATTTAAAAATACGAAGCATGCATCATCTCTGTTTTTAACCAACATTTTTCGTGAATCCCTTTCGACAGGTATCGTCCCTCATGACTGGAAAATTAGCCGCGTCATCCCCATACATAAGTCTGGAAACCGAAATTCGCCCTTAAATTATCGCCCAATATCACTGACCAGCATTCCTTCAAAAATCTTGGAACATATCATATTTTCTAATGTTATGACATATATCGAATCGAACGACCATAAACCAATACGGATTCAGGAAAGAATTGTCATGCGAGACCCAACTCCTCGAATTTGTACATAGCTTTCATTCTAATTTGGAACATAAACAACAAACTGACGCTATCTTTCTTGACTTTTCGAAGGCCTTCGATAGAGTACCACATAACCGCCTTATAATGAAACTTCACCAATTAAAAATTGACCACTTCATTATTACTTGGCCATTGTTAATAACTCAGCATCACCCAAAATGAGCGTAACATTTGGCGTTCCTCAAGGGAGTGTGCTCGGACCACTCCTTTTTTTAATCTACATCAATGACCTCCCTCTTTCTGTTTCTTCGACCATCCGCCTTTTCGCAGACGACTGCGTAATCTACCGTACTATCTCGAGCACCAGCGACCACTCATCTCTGCAAACTGACTTGTCATCCATTGCAAAATGGTGTGATAATTGGCAGATGTCACTAAACCTAGATAAATGCAAAGTACTCACCTTTTCTCGTCTTTTGTCACCGTCTTCTTATAGCTACGGCATTAAAGATATTATACTCGGTTCATCCTCATCTTACAAATATCTTGGTCTTCATATAACCAGCGATCTAACATGGACCAGCCAGGTCAATCACATTGTTGCTAAGGCAAACAGCACACTCGGTTTTCTCCGACGGAACATAAGACTCGCACCCCCTAAAGTAAAACAAATTGCATATCTAACACTAGTACGCCCAAAACTAGAATATGTTGCATCCATATGGTCTCCGAGGCAAACTTATCTGAAAGACGAACTAGAACGTGTCCAAAGAAGAGCATTACGATTTATTTATTCTGATTATTCTTTTCACACAAGTGTGTCTGAACTACGTAAACGAGCGGAAAATATTTTGTTTGACACTGTTTTACAAGATTTACCACCATAACCCAACAATTAGAAATAAACTATTTCCTCCTCCCACTTCTTTTTTTCCGAGATTAGATAACACCTGTAAAATACAACCCATATATGCATCCACGACTTCTTACGCTAACTCTTTCATACCTTTTACAATTAATGAATGGAACGCTTTGCCCAACAGCATAGTCACAGCTCACAATATAGATGTATTTAAAAAAGTGCTAGGCGAATTTTTAGAATCCACAATGAACTAGCACTTTTTAAACATAAGTGTATGTGAACTTTTGTCATGTTTTGTTTGAATATTTTGTTGATTCTTTTTGCTTTGTTGTTCATGAGTGTATATGCTTTATACGCTTTTCTTATTATCCTACAAATATGAGCTGCCCATCCCTTGTATAATGCCCTGTTTTAGGGCCTTCAAGGTACTAACAAATAAATAAATAAATAAAAACAAGATGTATTTTCGCCCACAAAATTGTATTGAATTAAAAATGTATTTGAAATACCCACGTGTTAGTATTTAAATACACATGTCAAATACATTACCCAATTTGTAATTAAATACAAATGCAAAATACACAAAGTATTTGAAATACGTATTTCAAATACTTGTATTTGAAATACTGCCCATCCCTGCTATGGACTAATGCATGGAGGCTCCACACGAGGCTAGATTTTCGCTTATAAGTAAGTAAATAATTTTTTGTAAGCAACCTAACTTGTTGATATCTAATTATGAAGATGTTCTTGTCACCTCAGCGTCGTGTTGCAACGATGAAAGCTATTTCTGAAGTATTCCACTTCGCTTTACTTTGGTAGCAGACGACACGATAGATTTGCGGGCCTCTGTTGCAGCGAGCGTCTTCACTGAATTGCGTCGGTAAACGAGCAACACAAGCAAGTGAATCGCCATGGCCGCAGTGGCCTCCGCTATGTGCGTTTTTTTCTGTGAAAAACCCAGCTTAGTTCAGAGGGGCGAAAATACCGCAAAATCAAGCCACGTCATGCAGATCAGTTACGACGACGACCTGAAGAGCATTACCGGCGTAGTGCAGGCCAGCATGAGAAACAAATCGCATGCCGCCGAGGTAAGTCGTTTGTTATATTATTATTGAGGTTGTCAGGTTATTAAAAAATTGCATGTCTATCGCAATTTCGCAATTTTTTTTTTTTTTTTTTATAGAATAATTTTAGTGGATTTGCTCTTTCGGTGAAGATCTCCATCGAACCAGCGATGAGAGTACAATCTGTAATAAACTCACCTTATGGCTTTTTTTTTTTTTTTTTTTTTTTTTTTTTTTTATCCGGTTCTTTCGCGTTTTGGGGTTTTGCGGAAATCTGAAGAAACTGCAAGGATCTTTCTCCACGCGATGGTTACAACCAGGTACGAAGCACCCTCCGATAGCGCGAGTCCGCAAACAAAATTTGGGATCTCTACCGATCGCCTGAAGTGCTTTTCTCACGGGTGCATTCCGATCTTTTAGCAGACGATCATCTCAATCGACGCCCGGACTTTCGATGAACCATATTTTGCATCGCACCCCACTATGAATTCTTATAAGTGTCTGAAACTCATTATATTTCAAACTAATGCAATATCAAAATATCGTCTTTATTCACCCGATTCAGACGCCGGCGCCGGCTTGGCCGGCGGGCGTGTGGCAGACGGCATTCATCTTGCATTCGTCGTCTGCTGCAGGCATCTTGAGGACCGGAAGTTGCAGTCGTAAATATTTCAGAAACAAGCGGTTACCGGCACACATCTGTCGAAACATATGATGACGCGATATTTAGAAGTTTAAATCCTACTCCTGATTTTTGAACGGTCGAGTTTTCGTATCGAATCCTGGTCACATGTATTTGTCCATAACAACGACCCTAGCAACGGTTTGTTTGGACCCATGACGTCACACTTACGGAGTCAATGACATCGACTAATTTGAATACTTCCCAATAATTGGCCAAACTCTCTCTGGGCTGAACCAACGGAACCCTTTAAATCTGACAGTGGCTTGCGCCACGTTAATATTTACCTCCACTATCACCTTTGTGACAGGCCTTGTACGCTGCCGTGTACGTGCCTGATCTGTGCAAATAAATATCAATCAACCAACAATCAATCAGTCAGCCTGAGCCTGAGTGCCTCTGGCACCCACGCAACCTAGATGGCGCAAGCTACCTCTTAATACAAAGTTATTATTATTCATCCATGTGATTTTGAGCTCTGGCGTTTGGGGCGTTTGTCTGGTTTGGCGGCGCTGGCGGCGTTGGGCGTTGGCGCAGTTGGCGCGGTTGGCGCTACCGGCGCTCGCGAGAAAATTTTTCAGTATCTCTCGAGACACGAAATGGGTAGGCCGCCGCCGCGGTGAGCCGGGCAGCGCAGGACGAATGCAAGCTACTAGTCCAAGTCCAGAATAGGTATGCATGGGACGTTTACAGGGCCTTTTAGTTCCAGGTTGTGTACAAATAGCGTCCCATTTCGTAGGAACGTTTTGGGTGACCTTAGGGTAGGTCGCTAGGTTCGCACTTGGGACAATGATCCGTTAGGACTAGTTCTGTTTAAAGATGTCTTCCATGCAATCGAGCGGTTCGTTCTCTTCAGCTTTTGCTTTATTTCTAATTCTTATTGACTCGCGTTTTTAAGGGATCTTATTTTGAGGCATTTAGTTCGCGAGCTTTCAATCGGTTTTCATTTTTGCAAAGTCCGTTCGAACGCGTCAGACATGACGTAGGCAGCCGCCGTGTATGTTTTGGGCGTAAACGGTATATACAGTAATGTGTTAGTTCCCTGTTGTCTTACTATGAACTGGCTCACGCTTAGTGTTCTCTGAACTTCGGGAGAGCTGATTCGCGATTTAAATCGCGGTTTAACCCCTCGTCGGCGTAACGAAGAAGAAACCGCCATGTCGGCCACGTCGATGTTTGGACGCGCCATTACGCGCGTCCGCCCGGCCCGCCATCCTCGATGCCGCCATCTTGGCGCATCGAAGCATTTGCTGCCTCCAGAACGCGATACTTCGATTTTCGAGGTGGCTTCTTTAAGAATCTGGTTGTGCTCAAGCCTTCTAGGCATGGGACGGGGATTTTCCTCCGTGTTTATTACTCTGATCGCTGTCCGTGTTAATTACTTTGATCGCGGTTACGTGATGATCAAACTCGGCGAAGCCACAGGTCTGAAACAATAAGGTTCCCTATTGTTTGAAGACTGGTTGCTTCGCTACATTTCCTAAATGTTGAGGTTTTCTTTTTTTTTTTTTTTACTTATTTTCTTTTTAGGCAAGTACATTGCAAAGTTTATACAAGAAATGCACCACCTGTGGGCAACGCTGCTTAAAATCGTTGCGCAATAGGTTAAACCGATTTCTGCAGTCGTACAACTATGAGAAGAAAAAAAAAAGTTTCAAACTCTTGGATGTAATTTAGGAAAGATGTGGCAGTGCTATGTATTTGTGCTTTAAAGGATACTTTAACGAAATTTGAAATATATCTGTCGTGTTCAGAAATGAGCTGAGTATGATCCACAAAATCCATAATTAACAATCTCAGGTTTGTAGTGTATTTTGAGCCTGATGGCTGTGTTTTTTCGCCATAACCGGCCCCTTCTGGTAAGTGCAGTGAGTAGAAAGCATGTGACATGTCAAAAATAATCCCTGGAAAGGGGAACAAGAGGGACAAAGGACAAACGCGAATCTCGCAAACACAGCTAGGTGACTGGTGAGCGACCGAAAAAATCCGCCTGGTCCGGGTATCGAACCCGGGACCTCTCCATTACAAGTGGAGCTCTCTACCAACTGAGCTAAAGGGGGTAGACGCCAGTAGAGCAAACGGGTTTTATCAGCCGCCACCGGTCTAACACCAACAAGGGTGAAGCTTGCGATTTAAAGTTATAATTATAATGCAATTACATGCAAAGGTGCAAGCAAGTCACCTAGCTGTGTTTGGAGATTTGTGTTTGTCCTTTGTCCCTCTTGTTTTCCTTCTTCAGGGATTATTTTCGTCATTCTTGTCCAGCTCGCTTGCACCTTTGCATTTAATTGCATTGTAATAATAATAATGTGACATGTGGTGGATAGATTATCTCGGAATGAGCAAAGCTGCCGCGAGGGTGAAGTCAACAGGATGTCCTAACCGTTCCAGCCACTGATTGGCGTCTGGGGCACACAAGAATCCCGGTGAGAGGGGAGATCCTCCCTCCCCTCTTAAGTGCTGGCTGGAGAGCTGTCGGGATGACGGGTTTAAAGCTTGCATAGTTAGTCATTGTCACTACCTGTCAAGGTTGCTAGACGGGCATTACAAACAATGCGTTAGTGACATCTGCCAGGTGCTCTTTGCTAATTGTTTAATTTGTTTTAAGATTCTTTTTCGTGTCTTTTCTTAACAAAAAATTTGTGTGTCCGATGGGATACTGCTCTTTTGAACACGTATAAACCAAAAAATAAGCGCCGAGATTTCGTATACGTTGGATAGCAAACACCTTGATCGAAAATTACAACGAAGGCACAATCTTTTATGGATCCCTACGCAATTAAATGTGCCACTGAAGAAAAGCTGCCATTCGGTTTGTTTTATTTTGCAGAAACACTGCAAGAAGAGTAGTTTAACAATTGTTTCCTGTTCTGCCCAGTAAAATGCAGTATATGGAGCTTAGTTACAAGTTTTTTTTCTGGCAAGTTTGTTCCAATATTTGGAAAGAGGGGGGGGGGGGGGGGGGGGATGCACAAACCATTAAGTTTTTTTTTTTGCTAAATTGTGATGTTGGGTATGCCAAATTGACTTGAAATTTATATAAAGTGGGTTTGATTTGTCGGTGGGTTTGATTTGTCGGTTCCGTGCTGTGTCATGTAATGCATGTTTGGCTTTGGAGATCTGTAATTGCGCCACGGCGCTGCAGATCCTCTTGCTGGGTACTTGGAAGAAATCTCAATGTTGTAATAGACCAAATTATTTGACACATCTGAAGTGTTCTGCTATGCGGCACGCGGTGCCAAGTTGTGAAGCGGTTACAATGCGAACGTTTGAACAAGCCTTCACTTCCTCTTCCTTGAACTGGAAATGACCATTAGTGTCTATTGTTTGTGCAGTTCCTTCGTGACACCACTAGCAAGGGACCAAGATGGGGTCCCAGCAGTTCTGCCTCAAGTGGAACAATCACCAGTCGAACATGCTGGTCGTGTTCGAGCAGCTACTGTCCAACGAGGCGCTGGTGGACGTGACGCTGGCCTGCGAGGGCCACTCTCTCAAGGCGCACAGGATGGTGCTGTCCGCCTGCAGCCCTTTCTTCCAGGCGCTGTTCGTCGAAAATCCCTGCCAGCACCCGATCGTGATCCTCAAGGACATGCGCTACATGGATCTCAAGGCCATCGTGGAGTTCATGTACAAGGGCGAGGTGAACGTCTCCCAGGACCAGCTGTCTGCCCTACTGAAGACTGCCGAGGCGCTGAAGGTCAAGGGACTCGCCGAGGTGACTGGGGACAACCGACACGGCGTTGTCAGTGTGGATGGTGCCGACTCTAGGACTATAAGCACGGCACGCGCGGAGTCGCCCACCATGTCCAAACGGAAGCGGGGAAGGCCCCGAAGACGCTCGCGCAGCGACTCCAAGAGTGACTCTGATGACCAGGGCGCACCTCCTGCGATCCGCATCAAGACGCCAGAGTCGCCAGAGATCATTGAGGACGGCAGTCTGTCGAGTGACCGGGTTACAGCTGTGGCCGCAGAGTCTCCGGCGACGAGAACATTATCGTCGGTAGCTGCCACATTGACAGCAGCGTCTTCGTGCGCGGTGGCGGCACCTAGTAACAAAGTGGCGGCAGGACTTTCTGCGACAGCGGCGAACAACTCAATGTCGTCGCAGCATACAATGGACTCTGTGGGGGACGACACGGGGGCAGACGACGCGGACTTCGAGGTGGAGCCCTCAAACCTCTTGGAACAGTCGATGACGACCGAAAACGTATGTGATGTTCGCTGTGTGTGTGGTTGCAAATATTGAGCCATCGTTCTTTGGCTCTTGCAATGCAGGTACCGGTATTTGCGGCCGTCGCATCATCATCATCATCACAAGCGGCGGAGTCTCAACAGTCTCATCCCAAGGCGTCTGCATCCGACATCCCTGCATTAGTTCATGTTCCTGCCTCATTGCCTTCAGACATCTCCATCTCCAGTCAGCGTGAGTCTTGTTTTCATACATGCTTTGCACCCGACTGCTTTCCAGCCACCACCAGAGAAGAGGAGGAAATCTCCCCTCACCGAGACTTGCGTGGCAGTTTCACCCTCTCTTCCATGGTGGTGTGAAATGGATGCTGAGACATTGGTGCCAAGCTTGCATACTTTGTTTCACGATAACTTTGCAAACGAGTCTACGGCCTCCGCGACCTAATAAGAGCGTCTGAGCAAATCACGTGCCTTAATGTCACTGGAGCGTTTGTGTCACTACACCAAAAGCGACACCCGGAGGAACTGGGTGTCGTCTGCTGTGAAACCAACCAACTTCGCATGAATGTCCATGCCGCAGCTTTGCCATCTGCTAGAGTAGAGCTGAGAATAGTTCATGTCACAACCATCCATTCAATTCGCCCACAGGTGGTGTGGGCTAATGCCAGTACGACGTTTTGAGTGGAAGCGGTGGATTACGGGGAGGGCTGCGATCATAGAAACATCATTTAAAATCTATGTTCTAGGTAATGGTTTGATCCGATCCAAGTATTGTTGAAAAGTAACGTCTCTCCATCTTCAGTGTTGTGCAGCATAGTGTTGTTAGATGCAATTGTGCAACTTCAATTGCCGATGAAGTCCAAGATGCCTAGAGCTACCTTTTGTCACGGGTGGCACTGATGCTGAGCCAGTAACGACGCCTCTGTGACCTCGACCATGCAGTGCCACCACATGCCTCGCTCTGATGCCCTTTTTGGGTCGAGGGGGCTGTACCCTCCACAGTTGAAGTTATCGTAAAACTGAGTATAGGGCCCGCTTTTAGCCCTCGTCGGTTTGTGTCGTACTGACTGTCTTTGTCCCCATTTTCTCCACAGTCGACATCAAGCCATCGCCATCTAGTTTAATTCCTCCATTCGAAGAGCAGGCTCTCTCCCCCGCGGTTCCCCCGCAGCCGTCGGGTTCTGGGTCTGGGGACGGTTCGTCAGGCGCCATGATGATGGCGTTCACGGACATGTCGGGCGTGCCGGCCATCGCGGGACCTTCCAGCTACCACCCGGACAACCAGCAGTCTACACCTTCCCATGGTAGGTATTCTCACCCTTCCCCCTCCCCCTCGGCTCCCACAACCCCTGAAAGGGCCGCCCGATTCCTTCCCTCAACTCTGCATTGCCTATTGTGCAAAGTCGGTTGCGGTGACAGATCGGTGCAGGCCGCGTTTTTCCACCGCTGCTAGGTTACCCGGCCTCTGGATTTGCCAATGTTTGAAAGATGGAAAGAGATAAACAAAAGCGGGGAAAACCTTGCAGCAGTGGCATACGCTCCCATTTGTTAGGGTTTCTGTTAGGATGTCTCGGTAAACTCTGGATAGGGTGTTACTGGATGTGTATGCTTGGAATCTGTATCTGTGCACTCACTGTATTACACGAAAAGTAAAGGACTTTTGCTCATGTCTCCTTTATTACTTGTGTCTGGTGTCTTGCGTGATTTACTCGTCTGCGCACGTTCGCGTTGTCAAGTCGTCGCAAGTGGTCCTGGCTGGGTGTCCGCCGACGAAGACTGCTTTGGCTGTTTTCTCGCGTCGCGCCGTGCTCGGTTTTGGTGCCTGGTTGGACTTCGAGGCGACTTCTCTACAAGCCAGGGAGACTCCAATTTCATCTGCTAGCGCGGTGGCTCCACTGCAAGCAACAACTGTCTGCTATCGCGGGCTCGACTCCCAACGGTCGCGTCGCGTTTTCCCGTTCGCGTGTCGGCGGCACCCGAAGATTTCGCTCCGTGGTGAGTATATCTTCCTTTCATTCTTTACCTGGTAAAAATCTAAAAGAATTGTGTAGTTCTTTTTTTTTTAAATCTATGTAGGCTTAAATTTTTATGGTTTTGATTAGGTCATTTTTGAGCGTGCGCTGAAATTTGTGCTGTAAACAATTTCAATGAATTAAAATGGTCTCCCTATGCTTTGTCTTCTGTGAATTACTGCTGTGTGAATGAAGACATGGTGCAAGCGAGTTGCCTGGGACGAGTGCTTGTGAGGGCCATTGAGCGGCTGGTGTGTGACTGGAGGGGACATGAGTCACTGTCGTTTGCACCAAATCCACGTCACTACATGCTGGGGTTCACCCTCGTGGACATCGGGAACAAGTTAAGGGGTCATTCTGGTAACCTTCTACACTACATGTGCTCAAATGTAAGGGGACACAGTGGGCAACACTAACACTACACGTGGGGTGGTGGGTGGGGTACTAACGTTCTTAGGGATGGGTTTTTTCTGTGGGGTTGGGTCTCTGCAGCAGCGTCGGTTGTGCTGTCCTGGCGGCCTGTCCGGTGTTCCTGTGGTCCTACTGAATTCGGTAAGAATTTGTGGCTTGTGTTAGCACGATTTCCGACACTGACCAGGTCCTTGTGGTCTCGTTTCAGGGTATTCAAGGCCTCCCCTAGGTTTCAAGCCTCCCCCAGGTTTCAAGCTCAACATGAGTCTGGGTCTTCTGAAGCAGCTTGCAGTGATGGAAGCTCTTGCCTGTACTCGATCTGGCTCCATTAGTAGAATTTGGTCTTAAATTCTCCCCTTCTGGTTTCTCTCTTGTCATGAGCCAAATTATATCCTAGGCATTGTATAATTGTAGGGAGCTTTTGATGTGGAGGCCAGGTGCCTTGTTTGAGACCCGATTATGTAATAAACGGGTTTGATTTTCATTGACAACTTTGACTCTTCACTCTTTCTGGGATGCTTGGACACTGTTCAAAGCTTTCCCTTTGTAACTTCTACGTTATCAAAGCTTCGTGTTTTGAATATTGCCTGCCCTCACTACTTGAACCTACTGGTTTCAAGTTGAATTGTAGGAGATTTAGGGGGGTATTTTTCGGCATGCCTTTATTCCTTTGGTTTGCGCAGGCTATTTTGAAAGTCGTGTCCATTTAAATTTGTAGGGGAAATTGGTGTGAGGCAATTCTCAAATTTATTGGCATCGGGGGGAAAAAAAAGGAGGGGGGGGGGGGGGGGGATCTTGTTGAAAGTGATGGAATTGTTTCGCCTTGAGCGAGACTCCACCTTGTGCCAAAGTGCTATTTTTGTTTCACCATAATCAAAGTAGCTGGAAAGGAAAGCTGTATTTCGCAACGTAAACATGCGTTGCACGTGACATTCAGAGACGCATGTGCCTCCCGGATTTGCTTAGACGTCGCTACTATTCTCCCATAAGATTAACCCGTCACTCAAAATTCTTACAAAAGGAGCTTCCCTCCTTACATGGTAATCAAAAAGTGTGATGTGATGCCGGTGCAGCCCGTGTATAGGTTGTTTCATCTTGGGTCGGACCACAGTCGAAGGCTCGAACACGAATACTCGCAGTAAAAGCGCAAGTCATCGCTGCATTTGATTGGCAATGAAAAAAACATTGCAAAATAGTAGAATGGCGGCTACTGCGATAAGAGAACCAGGCTCTCGTACTCCTGCACTCGATTGCCATGTTTGCCGTACGCCTCCGTGGCTGCTCTAACCCAGAGCCTCTGCTCTAACCAGCCTCACCGGGTCGAGCTTCACCGTTTTGCACCGGAGTACTAGGAGAAGCGGCTGTTAGAACGATATACATGCAAATTATGCGCAGTACTACTTATTACAGGTCCACCCACCTTGGTCTCGTTTATATGATCTCGTTTTCAAATGCTGCTTCTAGAAAGAAAAAGAAAAGAAAAATGCTGTGCTTTATTTGAACAAATATAGTTCCCATGCAGCTGTCAGGCGAAAGAGCAGCAAACTTTCACTTCACCCTGGTTCCAACGCCGCTACATAGCAGTTCTGGTTCTGCTTTTAACGCTCAAGGGTAAGTTTTCATATTTGTATGTGCTTTTTTTTTTTTTTTTTCGGTTTAAACTAAGTCGAGTTTGGTAACAATTAAATTTGGGAGGCGCATTTTTACTCATAGACGTGTTAGCGATTATGTTGTTTTTTGGTGGCATTTTACAATAAATTATACATACAGGCTAAATAATCTACCGGGTGTAAAAGTGGGAGGGGAGGGAGGCTTTACCCTAACAGAAGTGTGATTAATTTCTCGTCAGTTTGTTTAGTACCCATTGTAAATGGAACCTACTCTGACCAGAGCCTTATTTCTAAAAAGAAAGTTCTGGTTCGGGCGAGTTGGTTGCCCATGATGTACTGGGGGAACAGCGCACCCGGAAAACAGTCACACTAGATTGTAAGTGTGACTGTTTTCCGGGTGCGCTGTTTCCCCTGTACGTTCTGTGTACCTTTTGCGCCTTATTTGTTATTACAAAAGGTAACGAGTAATATGCTCCAGTATCAGAGAGAAACCCTCAGTCATCAATCAATAGGGGGTTAACGCGCCCCATTAATACACGTCATTCGCAAACACATCGATTCTCTCAAATGACCGCTTTTCGCTAAAACGCCATTCGTTCATTTTATAGTCGCTTGACCCGTTCCAATTTCCACGATAAAGTGAGAAAACAAAAATTGGGGTGTGTGTATGTGTATACAGCCTAGAACTCGCCGGGCGACTCTCCCAGCTGTAGATGAGAAATTTAGCCAGTGCAGTACAACCGCTAGCCTGGGGTCTTTAACGTGCATCGCGCAGTTGTGGTACACGACCGCACGCCGGTACGATGCTGATCCCGATCGAAGCGGTAAAGTGAAGTGGAACAACGTTGAGTGGAATGTGGATATTTACCATGATGGAACTTAACCCGAGACTGGGGTAGAAACAGAAACAAAGTTTCTGTTTCTACCCCAGTCTCGGGTTAAGTTCTATCATGGTAAATATCCACCAGCTCGCCTGCACTTTAACCGTTTTTTCATTAATGGAATGTGGAACGAACGTTAATCAAAAGTGACGGTTACGACCACAGGTTACGACTTCACAGTCAGTATTTATTTGTCAGCAGATGGCGCAAGCTGCCGTCTACTCTAGCAGCCTAGCAATCTAGCAGCCTAACGCCCAGCTCGCCTACGGCCTACGTCTAGCCGTTGCTCTAGCCGTGATTTTTCGTTATGATGGCGTCGCACAACAGTGTGCTACGCGAGCTGTGAACGTTGCATTCGGAGCGGCCGAGAGATCTGCAAAAATGGGAAAAGGTTTCAATAATTACATGTGCAAGAAGCCCTTCCATCCTGCTTCGAGAGACAACATCAAGCGGGTACGTAGATCCTTTTTGTTTCCTCAAACAAAGCGGTGATTGGACCTAACGCTGCGCGGTGTAGAACCCGCTGGATTGAACAAACACGGCCTCCCTCGCATTTATTAAACGACGTTACGATTACTGGATCTTTGGTACGTGTTGTTTTGATGCCTTATTACCGTGTCACTGAGATCGTCAATATTATAACACGAAGCCTGATCTTAGATCTCGATCGACATACCGCCATCGAAAGGTTACATTTACGTCACACGTCGGTTTTAGCTAGAAAAGAGCAGCAGTTTTGTTGTGTGCCGACATTCGTGTCATTATTCCGTTCGGCACTTTTTCAGGCATGGATGGCGGAACAGAGAACCGAGAACGAGAAAAAAAAGCAAGAGGAGCTCAAAATGCAGTACGAAAAGGAGCAGGATTTGTACAAAAACAGGTAAGGCCGTCGTTATTTCGGTACGCATAACAAAAGAGTGCTATCATTGGTGTGTTTTCAAACGTTTTCTTTATGAATGTAGTAAACTACAGGTTTCTTGCGTTCATCTTGATCGTTGTTACGAAAACGTTTTTCTGTTTCTTACAGATCCTTGGTCAGTAAAGAGAGCAAAGAAAAGCTTGCGCTCAACTTTATGTACGAGGCTCCCCCTGGCGCCAAAAGAGGTGATGATGAATCTATTCATTCTCTACGCCTAGGCCGATTGCACGCTTGCGGGAAGAGCTGTGCACACACCGATGCGATTCGCAGTTTGGTTGAGAGCTCACGCAAGTGCGATGAACAGGCGGCTTAGAAAGCGTTTCATGTTACATCATGTCATTGATTTTGAAAAGAATGTTTTGTAGCACCGACCCTTCCTGCTGAACAAGCTGTAGCATATTTTGCGATATATTGATCAGCACGGTGTTTACAAACAAGTCCTCGTTTGCCCACGCCAGTTGCAGGCACTGCACTTGCGCAGAAACCAGATGTGTGTAAAGCGCCTGAGCACGCGGCGCACTGACAGCAGCGCCGTTGCAGGGGCGTAACGTCTGAGTCGTGCATTGGTGTACGAAATGTGTCCGTCCGTCCAGTATGACAAGCTTGCTACGTGTGCACGAGAGTTCTCAACAAACTGGGCCACTTGACATCTGCTTGAACTTGGTTGTGGTAGAACTTAAGGCTTGTTCTCACATAAATTTGGTGTCGCAAAATACTACAATATATTCAGTCTAGTCATGCGCAGATCGGAAGGGTTCCAGGGCTACCCAACAGATGGCGCTAGCATGCCGGTGTGTTCTCGCATCGCAAGCGGTTACGAGCGGCGGCAACGCAGTCGATTACACTCAAACAGAAATGTATGAATCGGCCTTTACGGAAATAGCCTGTGGCCTTGGAAATACACTCTTTTTCCTAAATGCCTCTTGGATCTTACGTTTCCCCAATTCCTTGTTTCCAGAACACCAGAAGGAGGATGACGAACCAGAGTTTAGGTTCGAGTGGCAGCGCAAGTACAATGCTCCACGGGAGGAGTAAGTATGCCACCTTCGTCTTCAGCTTGGGCAGCCTGCAAGGCAATCAAGTGTTCCGCAAAGCAAGCCTCGTTCTCTCGATAGCTTAGAGTCGGGGCACATTACTCTCGGATGACGTTGCAGATCATTAGTGCGAGTGTTTTTGGAATATTGGCGAGGCTCCTCACATTCCTGGAAAACGGGAACTGAAAGCCCATTTCTTATTCCTTCCCACTTTGAAAATTTCAGTGGCTAAAAAGTAATGCATTGCTGCTACGGTTCAAGGACCGACATGGTGTTACATTTGTGTTCCAGTCGTGCATAACTAGGTATTATTGTGCTTGGTTCATTTCCGGATTGAATAAAGCAACAAAGAAAGGAAGTACATTTTATACTGGTATACGGTCAAACCCGTTTATAACGAACAGCAGGAAACGGTATGATCAGTTCGATATAGCAGGTAATTAGGTATAGCAAAGGCGAGAGCTTCTCTTTCTTTCTTATCTCTTCGCTTCCGCCTTGTAACAATGCGCTAAAATTTTTAATTTTTTTTTGCATGCGTGCAGCGTTTGTTTTTTTAGCTTATCTTTCCTTCTGAATCGCTTCCCTTCATGGGCAACAGTTTTGGGATGAAAAGTTTTTTTTCTTTTTTTGTGCGTGCTTGCAGAGTGCTTTTTTTTTAGCTTTCTCTCCTTCTGAATCGCTTCTCTTCGCTCAATTTTGTTAGCAGCTTGAGCTTCTGGAATTTTCTTTTGCTACTTTTTTTTGTGGGGGGAAGGGACAGGCTAGAAGACGATTGTTTGCGCGTTTTTGGAAGGCTTCCTGGAGGAAAACGTTTGATATAGCCAATATATTGTTTGTTATAAAAAGTACTTCTTACATGCATTTTTATTAAAATTTTCCTTCAGTTCAATATCTACAATAATTTGCTGTACGTGGCTTTGTTCTAAACGGGTTTCACTGGGAGGGGGGGGGGGGGGGGGGGGGGGGGAAGGCCTCACGAATTAAGTTAAGTTATGTATACCTGCAAGTGCCTAAATGAAAGAGGGATATTGTTCCACTTGCCGTTACGTTGACAATCCGTAGACAATGAAACAAAGTCGTAGGTATTCTAGCTTTATTTGTGCAAAAGGTGGCGAGAGCATTCCTTCGTTTGCCCTAAAAGTGACGCATCCCAGCAATGTAGCGTTTTCAGAAAGCGCGGGATGTTACTTAGAAGGTCCATTTGAGCAGGTCGCCTCTCTCTCTCCAGTTTTGCGAAGGGCAATAGCGAGATCAGGGACCAGCCCTTCGGGATCCCGGTGAGGAACGTGCGCTGCATCAAGTGCCACAAGTGGGGCCACATCAACACCGACAGGGAGTGCCCCATGTTCAATCAGGCAGGCACGTCTGCATCTTCGGGTGAGCTCTCTTGGCTGGATTACATGGTGGGGGAGGGAACGGTGCAGATCGCTACTGTGGAAGAAGCAGTCTCGGGGTTGGCTTGCACATTTGCGCCCGAGAGTGACCGGCTGCATTGCAGCTCGCTTCGGGCTGTTCACGACAACCCAACACGCTGGCGCCGTCTATCTTTCGATCTGCGTACATAACTGCTGCTGACTTCTGTTTCGCATCAGTCAGAGGTCAGTCGCCCGTAAAGTCTCTCGGACATGCTCGTATTGCCGCGCGCCAAGTAGGCAGCGCGGCCGTAGCCTAACGGTTATCGCGCTTGCCTCCCACGCAAAGGGCCAGGGTTCGATTCCTGGCCGCGGCGACACATTTTTGTTGACACTGTAATGTGATGTTCTGGTGAATTCGAGAACCGTCTAGCTGATTCGAGGTTAGAATGTTCTACGCGTCGAACCTTCTACGTCGAATACTTCAGAAGCCAACGCGTGTACAAAAGCGGCTCCGCGTGGCAAGCCGGAGTCAGTTTCGCCCCAGCATTCGACCCTGCTGTCACGCCGACTTCGACGCCCGCGACGCTCTGTTATTATCTTTTGTGCCCTTTTATTTTCGGGCACAAGTTCGCCCCATTAAACGTCTAGTTTCTTCAGTCTTCATCGCCTCATCAATTGTCATTCGTGACAGTATTGACCGTACGTGTGCAAGCGAGCACGCCACAGCATCCGACATCACAGGGTCGTGCGTTATGGTGTGGGCTTTTAAATTATGGTTTCTAGGAACGCGGGGGTTCTCCAGAGCAAACCCAAAAGGGCCCCGTTCTTCCAAATTTCCTCGACCACCCCTGCCCCTAACCAGAGCGTTCTTTTAGTCTAAGCGCTCATTTTCAGCGGATTTAGGCCACCATTCCACCATTTTCTATAATTGCTCGTTCGGAATTACCGTGATTGAGCTCCTCCAATGTTCCTTTTGTTTTTATTGTGACTCATCTTTTGCCCCCCAAGTTTGTTCAGAGACGCTTCTTTCCCCTCCTTCTTAACTGTACGGTGCATGGTCTCCGACTGGTGGGCTTCGCGTCCTATTCCGCCCATGCATCGAAAGTGGTCCCAACAAATAACTTCAGAAAAGCTGGAGGGATATGCTGTCAGATGTCGCGATCCTGGTAAGGTTGCCACCTTTCCTCGAAGAAACATACCGGCTGTGCCGGGGGGGGGGGGGGGCAACTATGTGGGATGGAACTGGTGAAGAGGAAAACACAGTGTAGCAGTCTTTAATATACAAATTCGATTTGCTTCTTGAAGTGAAATGAATTATTGTAGATATAATAGTACAATGGCACATGTAAGTACACAAATGCACAACACTGGACTCAATAGCATGCATAGAGGTGCGTACCATTTAGTCAAAAGTAAGACGTCCAAAACAAATCCCGTACGTCCACTTGTCCCACGCAGCAGGGATGAGTAGGCACACAGCAAGCTGTGCTCCTGTCACTTTGGGACGCACACTGGCTACAATTTCGCTACAGATGTCAGCCTTTCCTGGAGACAGCCGGCGCTTGTTTCTGCATATCCTCATGTTTAAACTAAGAACCCCAAAAATGAAAAATATATATGTGTATATATATTGTGTTTGAAAGCAGTGAAGCAAATGCTTTTTAACATCCTGTGGACATACGTGCCTGAGAAGGAAACAAGCAAAAAAGTGAGAAAGAAAGCGGAAACGCTGCCCGCCTCCATGGATGTGTGCATTATTGTTTAGACAGTCTGTAGGCTTCTACACTGCTTCATTGTGTAAATGCCAAGACCAGGAGGGATCGCACAAGCAGCAATCGAGATACCTGGCCGTTCTTTCAGTTAGAAAAGATCTAGAACCCCTGCATTACGGTGAACCCGTGGTTTAAAATGAACGGAATGACGTAGTCCAAAGGTCTCCAAACTTTTTTTTGCAAAAGGACCGGATTCCGATCTGTTGCAGTCTCGAGAGCCAGAAAAAAAAAAAAAAGTAATTATAAAAGAAGAAATATTAAACAAATAAACCTAGATAAGCCTTTAAACGCAGAAATCAGTGTTAGAGTAAGTATCACAAACCCCTAAGGTAGATGAATACGTATACTTCAAATTGCAATTTAATAGGCAGCTAATTATGACATCACAAAACACTTGTGACCAAGAAAACTCACCAGGCATCCATCAAAGCGCATGGGAAATGTGGCACATTCTCGCAGTGCAAAAGACTAATGAGAATGATAAAACTAATGATGATGCAAGAGTTGTGAGTGTGACAGGGGACATTAAGCGCAACATACATGAGAATGCAATGGAATTTTAACATACTTACACGGATATAAAGCGGTGGACTAAGATTGGTAAGGCTAGTGATGACAGTGTTCAATTAAGGATATGGCGAGAGGACCCATGTAACGATGCTGTTTCTCTCGTTCCTTCTGGCATCTTAGTTTGCACATTTGGAGCTCGTGGAGACGCCGTCTCTACGTGCATTTCTTTTTGCGTCGCGAGCAGGCAATGGGTCTGCTTGAAGCGGGCCGCGGGCCGGTTTTCATTGGAAAGATGGCGGCCAGACGCGGGCCGGGGTTCGGAGACCCCTGTGTAGACTAATTGTCATGATAAAGATTGCAGTACAAAGTTTCAGCTCTGTAGAGTAATTGGAAATTAGGGTAGTTTGCATCAGGAACACACCAAGATATTTCTCAGTCCATCTAGCGTTACAAAAATAACACGGCGTCAAACATTTTGCTTCGTTAGTGGGCAGGATGTCTGGAAACTCTAAGAAAGATTTGTAAAAAGTAATTTATTTGTGTAATACGTGTCTCATTAATATGAATACCCCGCTATATGGACACTTCGAGGACAAACTGGGAAGATGGGTACATTTTTGTCTCGTTATAATGAACAACTCACATTGTGGATGATTTATTGGGGACTAGAGGTGTCTATATTAACGAGACATCACTCTATCATTGTTTGGCCAAATCAAACAGCTTTGGAGACTCCTGTGTTTTTGACAAGGTCTTAACATTTTTCATTAAAAATATCTATGAAGTAAAAAAAAAAAAAAAAATGCTAATTCCGCACATGCATTTCTTATTAAATTTCAGTCGGGAAAATTGAAGAATGAGTCTTTTCTTTAGTCCCATTATCAAACGATACATCGACTAAAATTAAATCTGTACCGAATAAGTGGAATGGAGGGAACAATGCATTCAAGGTGTCCCGTTTTCTACCTTTCACTTAGCAGATGGGCACTGAAAATAACTGATCGCACGTTAACTAAGCAGCAGAAATCAGTGAAACCTTGTGTAAATGAATATTCCTCAGATGTTGGTGGACCTTTTTGGACCATGCCCCTTAACGAAATGACCTTTCTCCAACTGGCTCATGTGTCCAGCACAGCTCCTTTTGGCTGTTGCTCGCAACTTGCCGTAACCCGGTGGCGTTCTCCTTTGCAGGGGTGTCCATGGACCCATTGGAGCTGATGAAACAGATGAGAGACGACGGCCTTCAGCTCAAACCGAACGCTCTTGGCCACCGGTTCAATTCTAACCAGGCAAACCAGGTGAGCGGCAGCCCTCTGCTCCTCATGCCTCGTGTTTCTTGCATCCAAGCGTCTCGCAAAAACGGCTAACGAAACGCCGGGTCGGTCAGAATGGCGGTCGATCGTGTCAATTCCACACACCGAGGCTTCCCAGTTCTGTCCTTAAAAAAAATTGTTATATGTGCCGTGATATGTATTTACGTCGAGTGGTTGCTACTAGAGTCACTATAGTCCCTGACAAGGCTAGAACGGCAGGGAAGAGCTTCAATTGCCTCGCCTTCAGAGTGAGATTTCTAGCTTCGATGACACTTCAGCGTCTTGCACACACGCGTGCAGTCAAAACACGTCGGAGGCCGGGCACCAAAGCACGGCTGGTGGCCGGGCTTCAAAGGGCACACCCTGCCGTTCTCATTCTGTCGGTGGGTTCTCATTCTATAAGGGAGTTCTCATTCTGTCAGGGAGCTCTCATTCTGTCCGTCACAGTGTAGCGATGCTCCGAGTATCCCTATTCCTACACTCTTCCCCTCGCCCGACTCCGCCTCGCGGCCATTCGTCCATTTGCGTCGCACGACGCTTGTTTACACTTTGGCGCCCTGCTGGCACCGCCATTGCGGTGCTCGTTGCCACGTGGACGCAGTTCGTGACGGTTGCCGTTCCGTATGGTGACTTTTGATCAGTACGTACGATGTTGGGGGAGCATGGACTGTTTTTAGCAAGCGGGACAAGGACAATCGCTTCTTGCACCTTCCGTCGGCAAGGGACGATGACAACTAGCAACGTTAGTTCTAAGTGCCAGTGTGGCTGAAGGGTCTTTACTCTCAAGTGCAACTAATTTAGTGACCGGTTGTCCCCAATTAAATTTGGCGGTAAGAGCCGCACTTTCGTAGGTTCTCAATTAGGAGCCGCCGGTGTATTGGGGACCTTTGTTTTTGTCAAGGAGACTCCTTGTTTGTGATGAAAATCATTAGAGTTGATAAGCTGAGAGGCATAAATCTTTGGAAAAGAGCAGCCCTTTTGATGTTTCATTATTTGTTTTGCGTTTGATTGCAGCTTTTCATCGCCAGCGACGAAGAGGATGCCAACGACCCAGAGGTTGCGTTCCTCAAATCACTCTCGGGTAAACAGAAGAAGAAACTTCTGATGTGAGTGGCACTCTTTTTTTGTGAAGGGAACTTTCTTTTTGTGTGTGACAAAAAGTCTGGGAGACCGGCAATGATAAGGTGAAATTTGGCTATCTTTTCTTGGCACGTTCACCATCCCTTACGTTGTGAAAATGGAACTTGGTGTCGACATTTGCTCAGAATTGTTTGTGTGATGCTGCACTAACAAACAGTCATCCTTTATTACCATTTAATCTCTTGAATTAAAAAATCTTTTGTTCGGAGGTGAAAGTATTCTGATACCACAGTCAACATGTTTCTGAACTGAAATTTGCTGGGGAATCGGGCTATCTACTTTATTTTGTTTTAAGATGAAGTCCTCAGTGATAAAAAAACAAAGTTTTCAAAAATTGGCATAGGACAGATATGCATCTCCTATTTTGAGGTAATAACTCTTCCTCAAATATTTACATTTGAGTTATTAAAACTAGATAGCCCAAAGTCCCACATCCCCCACTTTATACTCAAGCAGTCAAAATGGTGCTTAATAGCTTCATTTGCATATCATAGATTTCTTAACGAAGAGTGACACATCAACTTATGTAGGTACTTAAATTCGTCCTAGAGAGCTGAAAGTTTGCACAGTACACCTACGTCTATAGTTTGATCTCCCCTGCAAATTTCATTCCGATCACTTGAGTAGTTCAGAAGTTCAACCTCTAGCCAGTGTCCCCCTGCTAGTGTGATTGAAAATACTCCTTTTGAGACACCAACCTAATCGGTAACATTTGGTGCCCGTCAATACCCCGTCTGTGTAAAATGTGAAAAAGTGCCAATGTCATCTTTGCACTAGCTGGGTCATGCAGTGTACAGTTGCCCGAACCTCACCGTTCAAATGAACTGGAAATCCAAATGAATTGACTTTGAACTGTTTAAAGTCAACTGTATATATCAATCGACTTCAAATGTCTCTGTTAGCAATCCAAGGTGTCCCACAACTCTGCCTTACAATATTAAAATTTTTTAGTACTAGAGAACAAGCCCTGTTCACTACACTTGAGACGATTGTGGTGTCTTGGCCTCGGTGGAGGCGTCGTGATGCAGGCACGCAAAGCCGGGTAGCAAACGATAACCAAACTTTTTATTCAGCGAGCGCATCACCGTCCCCGCGCCCTGGCTCCGTCTTCTTTTTCTGGCCCCGTCCTAGGCCTGGCCTTATAGGTCCTATTTTCTTGAAGCTAGGTGGTGCTAGCTGTGTGCCGGCAAATAGTCCGACGACACTACATTTTCCTTTGGACTTTTAAAGGGAAAGTCACTTCAGTAGAGTACATAGTCTGACAACCTTTTTGGACGATTTCAGCTAGACTGACGCTTTGGATAACGCCTGCTTTCTGCTTGCGGCGTCGCCTGGGTGTCGTCAGTTGTGGTGTCCCCACTTGGTCCGACTTGTGCAGGGTCGATTTCAGGAGGGTCTTTGACACTGTTCTGGGGCAGCTCCATCAATGTTTCGGAGGCATCCCAGTCTTTCGCGTCTTGGGTCTGTTGATCCCGCCGTGGAATTTGCTTGAAGAAAGAAGCGTTCCTGATGATCCTTTTGTTTTCCCGTTCAGTGGTGACTGCTGTCCCTTGTACTCTCGTCAGCCTGTATGGTTGGGGTTCGTAGGCGGACTCGTGAGACAGCGGCGCTGGTCGCTTTAGTAGTATGGCGTCTCCTGGTTGAAGTTCATGCAGCACTGCATGATGTTTTTCATCAGCATAAGTCTTCATTTGTTGTTTCTTCCTTTGGTCAGCCGTTTCAAGCTTTTCATGGTGGCACTTCTCCAGAGTCTGGGAAAGTTTTGTGTGAATTTTCTTTCCGAAGAGGAATTCCGCTGGAGTGTGACCTGTCGTCGAGTGTGGAGTTGCCCGGTAGTTCAGAAGGTACTCATTGAGTTCCTCTTTCCAGTTGCTTCCTTTTACACCAGCAGTCTTCACCGTCTTGACATTTTTCATGAACCTCTCGACTTCGCCATTTGCTTGTGGCCACAGAGGCGTTGTCTGATGATGGCGAATGCCATTGCGCTGCAGGAATGCTGCAAACTCCTTTCCAAAGAACGGAGGACCATTGTCAGTCTTCAGATCATAGGGTATTCCATGGACAGTAAACATGTCGCTCAGCTTCGCTGTCCCAGCTTTTGCGTTCAACAAAAAAAGGGTTGCTACGAGGGGGAACCGCGAGTACTCATCGACCACCACCAGTAGGTACTGGTTGCCCGGCAGGGCACCGGCAAAATCTAGTGGAAGTGACTGCCAGGGTCCATTGGGCAGTGGCGTCATCTTCAGTGGCGAGCATTTCTTCTCCACGACTGTGCTCTGGCATGCTTCGCAGTTCTTGACTGTAGCATCCACCTTTGCTTCGATTCCTAGGAACTAGATTTTCTCCCTGAGGAGCTATTTGGTCTTCATCATGCCTTGGTGTCCCCGGTGATGAGCCAGTCGTATAGGAAGCGAGCAAGCCGGCCGTGTCGCGGCGGTCGCCTATTGTTCGCCGCGACCTAGCGGTAGCCGCCGCAGGAGCATCGGGCAGCAATGGCGACGAACAGCACGGCGGGCAGTGTCCCCGTCGTGATTACGAAGGAATTCAATGCAGTTACGAATTCGGAAAGTTCCCTCGGTAGCTGGTGCCGTCGGCGCAGAATCATCGGGAAGTAATAGCAACGAACACCACAGAGGACAGTGGGTGATCACGAATCCGGAAAGCTTCTTCGGTAGCCGGTGCAGAATCATCGGGGGGAAGCAATGGTGATGAGCAGCACAGCGGACAGTGTTCCCGGGGTGATTACGACGGGGTTCAAGGCGGTTACGAATCCAGAAAGCTTCTTCCATGGTGCCAATATGACGAAGGGAAAACTCCTTCGTGAATATGGCCGCGTGTACGACGTAAAGGAGGTTTGTTTCTACGGACAAGTGGATGTCATGGAGCGCCGTACTCCTCTAACAAAATTAAGCGCGCCCGAAAAAAATGTAGTTGGCGTTGAGTGGACTGTGGTAATTATGTATGTTTATTTCTGAATCAGCTTGACAATAACTAAGCGATTTTTTTTCGCGCCGTTCTGCGATTCTCTTTACTATCTTCCTGTAGGCTGATGGAAACATCCAAGGGTAGGCTTAGGTGAACACCGCATTCCGCTTCTCGATTCCGGTGAAGTATTTGCTGCATACTTTAGAGTTTGCCGTCAGTGTCGATGCTATTCCATCGTTGCTAGAATACAAAAAAAGTTAATTGTATTATTCGTGAGCAGCTTAAACAAAGCGCGAACTGGAAGGTAAGGAACGCCACTAACCTGTATGGACGCACAAGTCGCACCCAAGTCGCGCAGTAAGTACTCCGCCTCGTAAGGCTTCAAAGGGACGATGTAGTGCTTCGTGCCGTGCGTGATCTTCGACGCACTGTTGCAGCCGAACACGCAGCAATTGTTGCGGCTTTCTTGGTGCGGAATAGCCATCTCAGAAATTACAGCGCTAACACACTACAACGCGCAACTAACGCAGCGACTGGCAGAAGCTCCCGATGCAACGGACCCGTTTGCCGCTAGGGGCGCCCTGGTCGGGGCTTGAATTAGATGCGCACGGTTCCTATATCCTGTGCCTGGGCCTTGTCCGGGATCACAAGTCTGGTCCCTCTCATCACGACGTCATTCTCGGCAACCGTCAATTCATCTCGAATCTGGGCGAAAGGCTTCAGTATGTCGCTCTTCCATAGACGTTCAGATGTCTTGCGGTTCCTTGCCTGGAGAGCGCGGATTAGCATCTCCATTTAAGCGTCTCCCTTGAAGGCTTTTTCAATGTCTTGAATGGTCAGTGCTCTGGGTGCAGAGGACTTTAGAATGAAAGAAATATATTCCTCCATTGCGACAGTTTCTCTCGTGGGGTTGTCATTCTCCACTGCGGGCAGGTGCCTTGACAGGTAGTCAGCAGGGTTCTCCTTCCCCGATATGTGTTGGACGTCAAAGAGATAGTGCTGCAGTCTGAGGCTGAGGCGTTCCAGTCTCGCTGAAAGTTTTGCGCTCGGATTTTTGATTATGGACACTAGTGGCAGGTGGTCCGTTTTTACTGTGAACTTTCCTCCAGCGAGGTACAAGCGGAAGTGTTTTATGGTGGACACGATGGGCCAGCATTTCTTTGTTACTGTAGGGGTACCTTCTTTCTGTAGGTGTCAGAGCTCTGCTGTATGTAGTACGCCAGGATGCTGGGATTTCTTCCTTCTGGTTCTTCTTGAATGAGCATACCAGCAATTCCTTCAGGTCCTGGATCAGTGATGATGTAGGTCTTCTTTCTTTCATCAAAATATGCCAGAGTGAGTGCACTTGACAGTTCCTGTCTCACGCTCTTTAGGGCCTCTTCATGCCGTTTTGTCCAGCAAAACTGTGTCAGCATGTATCAGGTTCCTCAACGGTTCAACCGTCTGAGCAAGGTGGGAAATGAACCTACTGCAGTAGTTCACCATTCCAAGAAGGCTTCTGACTTCTGTTGCATTTTTAGGGGGTGACATCTTCGCCACTGCTTGTACCTTTTCGGGATCCACACTGACTCCACTTGCAGAGAACACATGACCGAAGAACTTCAGGCTCTTGGTTCCTAAAACACACTTCTTGGCGTTCACGGTGAGCCCAGCGTCTTCCAGGTGTTTCAGCACAAGGCGCAGATGACGATCGTGTTCTTCAAGCGTCCGTCCTGATACCAGGATGTCGTCGCTGACGTTGATGATACCGCCCTCGTCGGGAAGCACTTGTCGTGTTGCGTCCTGGAAGATTTCGGCTGCAGCATTGACCCCAAAAAGAAGCCTCTTGTACCTTCTCAGGCCACAGTGGGTGGAGAAAGTCGTGATCACTCGTGAAGTCTCATCCAGTCCTCATTCAAGTCCATCTTTGAGAAGTAAGCTGCACCATTTAGGATGATGATGACGTCCTCCACAGTAGGCATGATGGGCCGCTCTCGAGCGATGGCCTTGTTTGCTTCTCTCATGTCGACACACATTCGCACCGCTTGTTTGTCATGGCGTTGTGGGACAATGACAATCGGCAAGACCCACGGTGTTGGTCCCTTCACCCGTTCGATGATGTCGAGGTCTTCTAGTCGTGCTAGTTCAGCTTTCAGTGCTTTTCTCGTCTGGAATGGGATCCGACGATGTCGTCGGGCCACCGGCTTTACTTCTTCCGAAATCTTCAACTTCACTTGAAAGTCTTGCAGTCGACCGAGTTTCCCAAACAGCTTCGGAAATTCTCTTCTGACGTCGACGGTGGTCTTTTCAGTGACCGTCTGGATTATTTTGATGAGCTTCAGGTCTGTTGCCATCTTGTAGCTCATCAGTGAGGCCTGTGGTCCTTTCCCGACGAAGACCGGTGCTTCAACGCTTCATTCTTGGGTGCGGAACGTTGCGATGAACATCCCAACGCCTGGGATCTCCTGCTTGATGCTGTAGGGAACTAGTTTCGTCTTGGTCTTTTTCAATTGCACGCTGAGGTGCTTGTCCCAAGTTTGTTCTCCCATGACATTGACTCCTGCACCCGAGTCCACAAACAGTTCCAGAGGGATCCCGTTGACCTCCAGTGTCACGACCGGAAGTTCGTTCCTAGGGCTCCGTATGTGGTAGATGGACTCGTCAGAACTTGTTTCCTGTGACGTGCTTCTGGGTGTGGTTGACGAGGCCAGGGAGCGTACAGTTTCTTTGGACGCTGCATTACTTCTGCACATCTTGGCAAAGTGATTTCTTTTCTGGCATTTGTGGCACTCGGCACCCCAGGCTGAGCGCCTTGTCTTCCCACTCTTGTGGGGCCAAACTCCACCACAGCACGAACACTTGTCCGCTTTCTTGTGCTTGGACAAATTCTTTGGGGCGGTGCTGCTGCATCTTGATTTCTTGGTTGACAGCTTCTAGACTGTTACCGTTGTCGTGGTGTGTTCTATGCTGGCAGCTTGACGCTCAGCGTTCTCGATGCCATGGCCGATCTCATGAGCTTGTCCAGCTTGATGTCGGCCTCTCGGAGAGCACTACGACGGAGCTTGGCGGATGTGGTCCCTTCAATGATTTGTGAGACAAGCTCTTGCTCGACTTTCGCGAATTCGCACGTCGTGGCCAGTCTTCGCAGCTTCAACTGAAACTGGTCTAACGTTTCTTCTGCGCCTTGTCACGCTTGACGAAAAACGTGGCACTCGTGCACCGCATTCTTCATGGGAGCGAAATGTTCTGTCAGACGAGCGACCACCGTTTCAATGTCCGCACCTGTGTCAGGTAGCGTGGTAAAGATATCGTACACTGCCTCACCGGCGTAATGGAGCAGCATGGTGCACTTGCGGGGGCATCTTTTAAGTTCGCAGCCAGTAAAAAGCTCTCGAAACGCGTGTGCCATTTTGTCCACCTCTGCGTGAGTGATGACGTGCCTGAATGCGGGTCGAACGGTGACAGGGCGGGTAGGGGTGTGTCCATTGCGCTTACTTGACGTTGCCGACGTTTCCAAATTCCCACGTGGAGCAGGTGTTTTTTGCCTCTGTATTGGCTTGCTTGCTTCGGCGTGGCACTGGGAACTTCTGAAGGCCTTGTGTAGGGCTCAAATAGACGAAATCCTCGTCGTCAGGTTTTTATGGTGTGTTGGCCTCGGTGGAGGCGTCGTTATGCAGGCACGCAACGCCGGATAGCAAACGATAACCAAACTTTTTATTCAGCGAGCGCATCACCGTCCCTGCTCCCTGGCTCCATCTTTTCTGCCCCCGTCCTAGGCCTGGCCTTACAGGTCCTATTTTCTTAAAGCTAGGTTGTGCTAGCTGTGCGCCGGCAAATAGTCCGACGACACTACAACGATAATCTTTGTGACCAGTGTTGTCTTAATTGTATGGCCACTTCAAATGCTTGTACCACTATCATAATCTTGCTACTCACAACTTTACAACTGTACATAGTCTGAAAAATCTTGTAATGCTGATGCCGCCATAGTAGAAGTAACTGATAGCCTTCATCTAAACATTAAGCCTGTGCTTGCTTTACCTAGCCCTACGACATGGCCTTGCAGCGGGTGATATAGCTACTCCACGGTCCGTGCACAAGAGTGCGTGCCTCCTCCAGTCTCTAAAATACCCGGGCGTCATTCCCGCAGGAAGCTGAACAAGCTGGCCAAGAAACAGGAGGTCAAGCCTGACAAGAAGAAGAGGAGCAAAGACAAAAAAAAGGCGAAGAAGAAGAAGAAACATGGCAGCAAGAAGGGGAGCTCGAGCAGCGACAGCTCCGACTCGGGTGAGTGCTTGGGAAAGATTGGCCAACCCTGCGAGAAAACCGGACGTCCTCGGTCGACCGGACAGGGGTCTCAGCGAGAGCTGACGCCGTCTAGGAATGTTGGAGCACCCTTCGCGTGAATGTGGATGTGGGTGGGCGAAAAGCTTCTGCGCGACCTTCGAGGCAGAGTAAACTGCGGGAGGAGCCGGCTTTTCGGGCTGGCACCGTATCCAGGTCAAAGCTGAATGAAGGAAACAAACGTGGCATGAGCAACGAGCAAAGGAAGTGCAGAAATGTGTGCCGGTCGGCAGCTCGGTACGGATTCCTAAATTTTTGTGTAGTTGCGGCGACAGTTGCGAGTGCTATACTCGTAAATGTGACGATTATGGTGCAAAAATTGCCGAAATGCGAAGAGATTATCTGCCGGCACTTGGATGCTCGCGTTCTCTTCCCAGTTCGGCTTATGCTTAATGGCCGACCAAGTAAGTTCAAGCTTTGCTCATGAAGCTTAGTGCATGATAAATGTTTGCTCGTTTGGCACGAATAAGACTTGTTCAACTCCGCTCAATTTTTGTTAGTCAAAGGTAGCAAAAAAACAATAATAAAGAAAGAAGATAGAGAGATGAACAAATTAAAAACACAAATGCACATGCACACATTATATACGCACACTCATAGAACTGTTTATGTTGGCAAGTGTCGTCTCACTTTGCAGCACACTTGACTGCAGTGCCTTAAAGTCTTTGTTGAAGATGTGTCTTCTTTATTATAATAATAATAATAATTTGTTATTTCCATCTACATTGATGGAGAGGTCGATGGAAACAGCTGGTGAAATACAGCTTGACAAGACCCTCGACCCCCTACATAGGCACAATAGCAGAGGTATAGGAAAAAATGCTACTTCATGCGAAAGTACTAAACTGGTGGGTCATATACGAGCACAACACACATATGAAAGAAGATTGAATAATCCTGGAAGTAATTAAACAAACGGCTTCAAAGGGATGAGCCACGTCGCAGAGTTCCGTACCGCTCTCACCTGCAACACGGATAATGAGTCCTAGGTGTTTTGCTACGCTGCCGCTAATGGTAACTAGGACCTTAGGCGCACAACGAATGATCCAACTTGACACTTCTTGCCCTGGTATTGCAGGTTGAGGCAGACTTTCTTTCTGACGCACTCTTTGAGTGGCCGAAGAACGTGTTTAGGATAACACTACATTTTCTGGTTGACTTTGTCAAGAGTTGACATAGTATTGCCTTCGAGATAATGCAGCAGTTTGCTCCGGTGTCTATTTTACAGCAAACGGGCATGCCTTCCAGATTTACTGAAACTGTTTAAAGATCTTCACGAGACACAGTACCAGTGGGCAACGCTTCTAGATAAAATGTCTCGTCGTCGCTAGCCATAACTTCGCACACTTCTTTTTGTGGAAGGCTTCTGCACCCTGGCTTTGTATATGATCTTTTGCAGACTTTAGCGAAGTGATTAAGTTTTCCGCTTGATTGAATTTTTCTTGGGTGCTGGACAAACACTAGTCCTGTGCGCAGTGAAAATAAACTTTTGGCATGGACCCTTACTTCCTTGGACCGTGTTGACTTCCATCTCGTGTTTTTTCCTCTTTTCGTATTCGCTTATACCTTTCCTCTCCTTGCTGCCAGGCTCTTCACATTTTCATCACCTTGGTGTACGACATGTTCTCGTTAACCAGCTTCTGCTGAAGTTTCTTGTCTCTAATGCCGAGAATTATTCTACTTCGAAGTAGGCGTTCTTTTAGCAAGTCAAACTGACAGTTGTTTGCTAGGACACGAATGTCCGTCAACCATGCGTTAAAGAGCTCCCCTTCTTTCTGGTCCTTTGTACCAAATACAAACTCGTAGGTCAGGTTCGCGGCAGGCCGGTAGAAGCTATCAAACTTCTCGATGATAGTATCTACGTCCTGCTTCTGGTCTTCGCTCGCAAATGTGAACGTGCTGAAGGTTTTTCTTGCGTCTTCCCCTACAATCATTAACAGGGTCGCCGCTTGGACTTCTTTTGGTTGGCGGTTGAGGAACGTTGCCTTAGAAAACAGTCGGAACTCACATTTCATCGTCTTCCAGTTCCGCCACATGTCTCCAGATATGTCCAGGGGCTTTGGTGGCTGCAGTCGCGTGGTACATGGCAGCGCGTCCAGCTGCTGTGCCGTTGCCATAGTCTGGTTGCTTTTTTATCGCATTTCGGCTCCTAAGCGAGAGGTTAGAATCAGCTCTGACACCATGTAGCTCGTGCTCGGGTACCGAGGTGGATGACAACTTTTACCTCCTCCATCGTATGTCCTTATATACGGTGGTGCCCTAGCGGCATAGCTGTAGCGCTTGTGATGTGGCTGTGTCAGTGACGTCATACCTACAACCGGGACTCTTGTGTGCCCCAGAGGTCAATCGGTGGCTGGAACGGCTAGGACATCCTCTTGACGTCAGCCTCGCCGCAGCTTTGTTCATTCCAAGATAATCAATGTCATCATTGCACCAGATGTCACGTGCTCTCTGCTGGCTGCTCACTGATCACTTGCCAAAGTGGGCCGTTTATGATGAAAAACACAGCTATCAGGCTCAAAATACGAACATGCGATTGTCATTTATGGATATTGGGGATCATATTCAGCCTATTTTTGAACACGACGGCTTTATTTCAAGTTTCGTTGAAGTATCTCTTTAACGACTTGGGACGTGCCTAGTCGCCGAACGAAGATAACAGGTGCCGTAGCTCATATAGCCACCTGGAGTTCCATACCGTTTATATCTGACGGTACTCTGTATACAGCTCCTATGGCTAATTCACGGGTAAAAGGCTCGTAGGCCTGGACAGGGATGCCTCCAATGGGGGTCAGTGCAAGCAAAGCTTTTGTTGCGTCTCTGTTTCTTGTGTCTATAGCGAGTAGATTCAACTTTCAATTTGGCCTGATGAGGATGATTCCATCTGGGGCAGTCACCTCTAGTTTCTCTCTGATTTTCAGCACATTGATTCTGGCGATTATTTTGTATGGACCCTTTGGCTTCAGTAGCACTACGAGGTGGCGATGTGCTTGTTTCGTATTCTTGATGGTCGTATTATTTGACTCGGAGCTGCTAGAAACTTTGCGTTTTTCGCGGCTCTGAACCAGATTATATTCGTCGGAATCATTACTGAGATCATTGGAGATGATCTTGAGTAGGAGATTGTGCTCGAAGCACTTGACATACTCATAGGCAATTTTTTTATTTCAACTGAAGGTATGCCCTGGCCAGAAAAAGGGCCGGCCTCGGCCATGGGAGATGAGCGATCGGCTCAATTCAATGGAGCGGATCGCTCATCTACACATACATGCAGGAATGGGCAGCATTTCAAATACAAGTGTTTGAAATACGTATTTCAAATACTTTGTGTATTTTGCATTTGTATTTAATTACAAATTGGGTAATGTATTTAACGCGTGTATTTAAATACTAATACGTGGGTATTTCAAATACAAGTGTAATTAAATACAATTTTGTGGGCGAAAATACATCCCTCAAATTTATTGTTACTGTCCAGAGCAGGAAGAAAACTACGTTCTGCACCTAATTCAGTGTCTCTCAATCAAACACAAGCGTTTAGCGACTTTGTGATTACGGTACTATCCAGAGCAAGAATAGTGACGAAATCGACGTTCACAGGCAGACTGGCTATTTAAGTGCCTGTGACAACTTGTGATGCATTCCAGCCTGATTTCCTTCCATACTTTTGCCTGGAACATTCTAAATGCGCGAGTCGTCCAGATTTTCGTAACTGGTGCGATTTGCAACAATAAAGAAGTCTCTACCTAGTGCTGCGCGTCTTGGTCGTCTCGGTTCTTTGTTGGTCTATACCAAAATGTAATCGACAAAAAAAGCTGCTTGAAGCTCTGTACTTTTTGCACCTATTACGTCCAAGCTGATTACATTTTTTTGTGATTATATTTCTATTACATTACTAGAGCCTCGCACACTAACTCCCGAGTGTGCGATGCAAAATTAAAATGAGATACCCAGAAACCCGTTGCAGGTGCCCTGAAGTCGCTGACGCAAATTTTGAGGAATGTATTTGGAAAAGTATTTGGAGGAGACCAAATACATTTGGTTGTATTTGTATCTTGTATTTAAATGCTTTTTTGGAAATGTAATTATATTTGTAATTAAATACATTTTTGACGAAGTATTTTGTATTTGTATTTCGATACATATTTGCATGTATTTTGCCCATCCCTGCATACATGCTTTGATTAAATTAAGAAAAATATTAAGCCGAGCTCAGGATCAGCAATGATAAGTTTGACTTCTTCTTCGAACTCCAATTTTTGTTATTGAGAAGGCGATGCAGTTAGTATCATTGAGGGAGATCACAAGTTCAATATTGCAACATCATTTTGTGTTTATGTTATGGAGCTGGAAAGCAAAGCTTGACACGCACCAGATAAATAGAATCTGTTAGTTTAGCGAACAATGTACAGCTCAGCCAATATTGGGCTACCCACGTTGGAGACTTGTTGGAGACTCTAGCAGCTTTTTTTTTACTCTTACAGACAGTGCTTATAAGCAGTTTAGTCAGCAGTGTGCACACGCATATTTGCGATAACGAGCTTTCAAAGTGTCGATATGGCTTTCGTTGTGCAATGTTCACGTGATGTGGATGGTCCCTTTCTCCTAAAAAGCTCCACAGTAGCCGCCACACATAACTGCACAATAATCAACTCTGGCGGGTCGGTTTGGGATGATTTAGCAGTAGCACACTGCCAAGAAGATTTTCCAAAATTGTAAGCTCAAAGGAGGGTACTCTAAGCTTTTGTATGTGTCTCCTTTTCTGCGCCTGTCTCTCTTTGTGTTTTTTTTAGGGGTTATAAACAGTCTTTTTTTTATGGAGCATCTTAACGAAGTAGTCGTATGCAACTGTAAATGCTATTGCAACGATATTGCATTAGGGTCAGCTAACGAATGTTGACTACACTGCAGGTTCTCGTTCTAGCAGAAATTTAGCTTTTCGA